CTTTACCCACAATTCTCTTTGCAACATCAGGGCAAATGTCCAGACAAGACAAAGGCAGTTATATTAGTCTTATTATTTTGATATAAACAGGTTCCCTGAAAGGTCTCCTCTATTCCAAGAATGTGTTTACTCTCTGGAGCTGCTTCTGTAATATTTAACAATCAAAAAGGCTTGAGATGGAAATATCATATGACAGCCCTTATATGCAGAATCTAAAAAGAAATGACACAAGTGAGTTTATTTACAAAATAGAAATAGGCTCACAGACTTTGAGAACAAACTTATGGTTACTGGGAGAAGAATAGGGGAAAGGATAGTTAGGGAGGCTGGGATTGACATGTGCACACTACTATATTAAAAATGGATATTGAGCTGCATGAGCTGCTTGCATATCTTGGAGATTAGTCCTTTGTCAGTTGTTTCATTTGCAATTATCTTCTCCCATTCTGGGAGAGATCCTTTCATCTTGTTGATAGCTTCCTTTGCTGTGCAGATGATTTTAAGTTTAATAAGGTCCCATTGTCTATTTTTGTTTTTATTTCCATTACTCTAGGAGTTAGGTCAAAGAGGATCTTGCTGTAACTTATGTCAAAGAGTGTTCTGCCTATATTTTCCTCTAAGAATTTTATAGTTTCTGGCCTTACATTTAGGTCTTTAACCCATTTTGAGTTTACTTTTGTGTATGGTGTTAGGAAGTGTTCTAATTTAATTCTTTTATATGCAGCTGTCGAGTTTTCCCAGTACCACTTATTGAAGAGGCTGCCTTTTCTCCATTGTTTATTTTTGCCTCCTATGTCAAAGATAAGTTGCCCATAGGTGTGCAGGTTTACTTCTGGGCTTTCTATCATGTTCCATTGATCTATATTTCTTTTTTTGTGCCAGTGACATACTGTCTTGATGACTGTAGCTTTGTAGTATAGTCTGAAGTCAGCAAGATTGATGCCTCCAGCTCCATTCTTCTTTCTCAAGACTGCTTTGGCTTTCAGGGTCTTCTGTGTTTCCATACAATTATAAAAATTTTGTTCTAATTCTGTGAAAAATGCCATTGGTAATTTGATATTTCATTGAATCTGTAGATTGCTTTAGGTAGTATAGTCACTTACAAGCAGTTCAATACCAGAAAAACAAACAATTAAATTAAAAAAAAAAATAGAAGACTTAAACAGGCATTTCTACAAAGAAGACATACAGATGGCCAACAAACACATGAGAAGATGCTCAACTTTGCTTATTATCGGAGAAATGCAAATTAAAACTGCAGTGAGGTGTCACCTCACACAAATCAGAATGGCCATCATCAAAAAAATCCATAAACAATCCATGCTGGAGGGGGGATGGAGAAAGGGAACCCTCTTGCATTATTAGTGGGAAAGTAAATTGATACAGTCACTGTGGAGAACAATACAGAGATTTCTTGAGAAACTATGAATAAAACTACCATAAGACCCAGCAGCCCCACTACTGGGTATATACTCTGAGAAAATCATAATTCAGAAAGATACCCTTAGGGTTCATTGCAACACTATTTACAACAGCCAGGACACGGACATAGCCTAGATGTCTATTGACAGGTGAATGGATTAAAAAAATTGTGATATATGCATACAATGAAACATTATTCAGTCACAAAAAGGAATGAGTTTGAGTCAGTTCTAGTGAGGTGGACGAACATAGAGCCTGTTACACAGAGTGATGTAAGTTGGAAAAAGGAAGACAAATATCAATAGTAAAGCATATACATGGAATCTAAAAAACATGGTACTGATGAACCTATTTGCAGGACAGGAATAGAGATGCGGACATAGAGAACAGACTTGTGGACACAGCAGGGGAAGCGGAGGGGGGGACACATTGAGAGAGTGGCATTGAGACATATACATTACCACATGTGAAATGGACAGTTAATGGGAAGTTGCTAAATAACGCCGTGAGCTAAACCTGGTGCTCTGAGACAGCCCAGCGGGGTCGGAAGGGGTGGGAGTAGGAGGGAGGTTCAAGAGGAAGGGAACATATACGCACTTATGGGTGATTCACATTGCTGTATGGCAGAAACCAACAAAACACTGTAAAGCAATTCAGTTCAGTTCAGTTAAGTTGCTCAGTCGTGTCCGACTCCTTGCAACCCCAGGAACCACAGTACGCCAGGCCTCCCTGTCCATCACCAACTCCTGGAGTCCCCCCAAACCCATGTCCATCGAGTCGGTGATGCCATCCAACCATCTCATCCTTTGTTGTCCCCTTCTCCTCCTGCCCCCAATCCTTCCCAACATCAGGGTCTTTTCCAATGAGTCAGCTCTTTGCATCAGGTGGCCAAAGTATTGGAGTTTCAGCTTCAAAATCAGTCCTACCAATGCACACCCACTGATCCCCTTTAGGATGGACTGGTTTGGTCTCCTTGCTGTCCAAGGGACTCTCAAGAGTCTTCTCCAACACCCCAGTTCAAAAGCATCGGTTCTTCTGTGTTCAGCTTTCTTTATAATCCAACTCTCACATCCATACATGACCACTGGAAAAACCATAGCCTTGACTAGACGGACCTTTGTTGACAAAGTAATGTCTCTGCTTTTTAATATGCTGTCTAGGTTGGTCAAAACTTTCCTTCCAAGGAGTAAGCAAGTATCCTCCACTTAAAAATAAATTTAAAAAAATAAAATGGATAACCAATGAGGACCTACTATACAGCACAGGGCACTCTGTTCAATGTCATGTGGCAGCGTGGAGAGGAGGGAGGTTTGGGGGAGAATGGATGTGTGTGTGTGTATGGCTAAACCCCTTTGCTATTCACTTGAAATTGTCACGACATTGTTAATTGGCTATACTCCAATATAAAATCGAAAGTTAAAAAAGGGGGGCTCCAGATCATTCCTACTTGATTCCCAGTCTCTTGTGGCATTGGACTCTGCAGGGCGGTAGTTTCTCAAAGTGGGGTCTGTAGACCCCTGGGGATTCCCAAGGTCAGTCAAATAGACATAGCCTTAGAGGATTTTACAAATTAAAAAGTCATTCAGATAATATGTGACAATGACACTGACAGTTTCTGTTGATTTTGCCTTGTTCTTAAGTCTTTGCGCCAATTCCTATTTTTGCTGTGAAGGCAACTCCAGCATGATGTGGCATTTGCATTGATTGGAGGGCAGATATGTTCAGAACCTTCTTGCAGTTACTTCTTAAGCAGGAATAAACTACATAATGCAGTCCACCTTGGAAACATTTTGGTTTGCTTCCCCTAGAATCACACTGAATCTCCTGCCAGAAGGCCTCACTAACTCAGATTGCTAAGGAGGAAAAAATAGTTCATTAAATAGCAGGGAAGACCAGAATGATTTCTAAAAATAAATCCTAATTAGATACATATTTTAAAAACAAATGCTTACTTCCTTGTTTTTCCCTTCAATGTTAATTTATGGCATTCCTGCCTGTTATTAATAATCTTTTTTTATCAGTGTTGGTAACTTGATTCTTTATTAACACTTTTAAATACCTTATCTCATGTGATTCTTACAATAAACCTAAAAGGAACACCAATTTTAGAGATAACCAAAACCAAAGACGAAGACATTTCAGAAAAATTAAGTGACGTAACCAAGTACCCAAGTACCCTCTATCAGTGTTCCATTACTGTGTGATAAATTACTACAAACTTAGTGGCTTAAAACATCACAAATCTACTATATCAAAGCGTCTGTGTGTCAAGGACAAGACACACATCTTGTGTGTGTCTTGCATCCTCTGCTCTGAAGTCTAAGTGCTGGCAGAGGCTCCCGTCTCATGCTAGGCTTGAGGTTGTCTTCTGAGGTCACACAGTTGGTAGCAGAATTCCATTCCTCATAGTAGTAGGGCTGAGGTTCCTGTTTTTTCTCTAGCTAATAATCACAGGTCAGTCTAAGCTCTCAGAGGCCTTCCTCTCACAGCATGACTTCTTGCTTCTTCCAGTCCAGCTGGAGAATCTCTCTCCAGTCTGAGATTTCTTGCATGGCTCCCAGTCCAGTGCTCAATCAGAGAGGGAGCAATTGGTCAAAGAATAAATGAGTGAATATTTGTGCCAGTTCAGAATCCTACCATTTCCTATTCATTCTCTTCTTTCAACTCAACATCATTTCATCATGGCAAACATGAGCGCTCTGAAATTTTTTGTGTTGATCTTTAATGCTCTGCGTATTGATCATATATAGCATTGAGGTTATATTGAATTTCTTAAAAAGTTTCACCATCTGAAAGTCATTTTCCTATTTGGAGGCTGGCTGGGAGACATGAGCAGAACTGCTAAGTCATGCTGCCAACCAAAAATCTTGGTTTCAACTTGGACTCTTCTGGTTTATAATAAGTACAGCTATAATTCTTTGAGTGCCTAACATAGGCCAGGTGATAGATAGATAGCCTGACATACATGCACACACACTTGCATACATACATATTCTCTTTGTGTTTGTGTGTGTGTGTGTGTGTATGTGGTGGAGGGATTACAGATTTTTATTTTATTTCATTTCCAATACTTTTCTATCATACATGTGTATTCTTTTTTTACTGAAGTATAGTTGATTTACAATAATGCCTTCAGTTCAGTCCCTCAGTCATGTTCAACTGTTTGTGATCCTATGGACTGCAACACGCCAGACCTCCCTGTCCATCACCAACTCCTGGAGTTTACTTAAACTCATGTCCATTGTGTCGGTGATGCCATCCAACTATGTCACCTTCTGTTGTTCCCTTCTCCTCCTGCCTTCAATCCTTCCCAACACCAGGGTCTTTTCCTATGAGTCAGTTCTTCACATCATTATTTGTGTTAAAATAATGTGTGAGTTTCAGATGTACAACAAAGTAATTTGGTTATACATATATATGTCTATATCTATATTCTTTTCTTTGATTCTTTTCCATTATAGCTTATTATGTATTTTCTTAACCCAAACAATGAAACTGTAATATTGGTAAGCCGTCATTAGTGCCCATGCTATAGATAAGAACTGGGACGCAGAAGTGAGGGAACTTGTGCAGAGCCGATGTTGGTGAGCGGCAAAGCAGACTTGAAGCTCGGGTGCTCTTCGGCTCTCCTCGCAGACTCCCTGTCCACTGCTGCCCGATTTCAGGGTCTGCTTGCCACTGAGCCATCTGCCTTCTTCACCAGGAATCACTGCTCGCCCACGTGGCGCCTTGGTATGAATTAGAAAATGGCATCCCTTCATCAAGGTGCTTTGCCACATTCTACCTGTAATGCGTCGCAGTCAATACAGGAGAATTTCTGTCTGTTGTGTTTGAGATGGTGCTCCCTAGGCTGTTCAGTGTTCGACCTGCACAATTGTGCGATGTTGTGCTGGGGCAACAGTAAATTAACGAGGAGGGTCTGATTCAAGTTTTAAATTGTTTGATCTGTACTGCTGAGTCTTGGTTCTTGGAGGACTGTTGTTTCTTGTGAGAGTTTAGTGGTTCTCTGTCCCCCTGATTTGATCAAAACATGCTGACAGATGACTCGAAAAGGAGAGAATGGCTTACTGTTTCTCTTGGCTTCCATTCCTTGGTCTGTGAACTCATTTTTCAGGAGTAACAGCTGTGACCGTGTAGTTCATGTGTGTGTGTGTGTGTGTGTGTGTGTGTGTGTATTGGTCACTCAGTCATGTCCGACTTTCTGTGCAAGGACTGCAGCCCATCAGGCTGCTCTGTCCGTGGAATTCTCTGGGTAAGAATACTGGAGAGGGTGACCATTCACTTCTCCGGGGGACAGGGATCGAACCCAGGTCTCCTGCATTGCAGGCAGATTCTTTACCGGCTGAGCCACCAGGGAAGCCCATAGTTCATCTTGCTCTTCCCAGAAATGAGTTGGCTCTGAGATTACAGACCTCAGACAAGTGGGGAGGAAAGCATGTGCTGGCTCCATGGGCAGAGCTGGGGGCAGCAGGGCCATGGCCAATGCGGCCAAGCCATCCCTCAGTGTCCCCTCTTGAGCTGGAAACCACATCATTCCTCCTTTTTTCTGCAAACTAGACCGAGAGATGCAGGGCAAGCAGGTTCACTGAAACATCCTTCCAGTGAATCAAACAGATATTTGTGCCCAAGTGCATTAGGAGGAGTGTGAGCAGAGAGGGGAGGGGTGGTGTTAAAAATTACCAGTCACCAGAGGGCTCGAGGGGTCCAGGGAGGCATAATTCCCAGCTGCTGCCACAATATTAGTAATTAACGGTGTTTCTCGATTTTCCCTTAGTTGGATGTGGATTTTTTGATGTAGGAAAAAAATTAATCCCAGCAGAATGAATCATTAAAGTGAACTGTAGGTCATTTGGAAGGAGGTGCCTGGGCTCTGACATCCAGACGATACTCAGCTATCAGAGGTTACTTAGTCTCTGTGATCCTCAGTTTTCTCATATGCAAAATGGGAAAGGTTACTGATACCTACTTCACAGGGTTGTTAAAAAAAAATTTAGTGGGACAATTGACATAAAGCATTTATTATCTAAGTGCCTGGCATTGAGCAAGCACTCAGTAAACAGCAAGCACTCAGTTAATAATAGCAGTAGTATTATTAATATAACAGGACTGTGATAGCATATTAACACACCTACTTTTCTTGAGGGTGACAAGGCATTTTTCCCCCAGTCTTGCTCCATTTAGCAAAGTTGTCCCCAAAGCTCAGCACTTAACACCTTGAAAGAAATTCTGCAGGAAAGGGAAACTGTGGAGCAGAATTAATTCTGTGACATAAATCTGTGTGGTCCACCCGCCATGTCCGTGTTCTCCAGTTCTCTGGTCCTGGATTGTGGCAGTAATTTTAACAGAACCTAGTCTGCTGAGCCTAAGAGATAAAGAAGAAATCACTATTCTGGTGCAACTGCCATAAAACACAGGGAGTTTGGATAAAGACTTTTATTACTATACTGTGCAGATCCTTGCAGACCTGGGAGCCAGCTTCTCCCACCTGCCCACTCCTACACTCCTGCTGTCAGACCTAGATTTATACCGGGGGCCGGGCACTCAGAGAAACGGGACTCGCGAGTCTGGATTCAGCCAGAGAAAGGTGAGGTTGGGCTCGGATCCAATCCCACCCCTGCTTCCATCCCCGTTACTTCTCCTGTCCTGGAAAGCCAGCCTTCTGTAAAAAGAAGAACTATAGATTGGAATTTTTTTTAATTGAATTTAAAGTCCAATGTGATAATATGTGCAGTATACACAAGGCTATTTGTTCAGGTAGAATAGAAATAGGGATAGGAAAAATGGGAGGATGAAGGTAAGAGGAAAGGACACCCCCTACAACTGAATAATAATGAGCTGCCCCACCTGACCATGTAGGGTGTGTGGTGTGCAACCTCAACAACATGCGTGGTCATCCTGAAGGAGTCTGAAACCCCCTCCTCTTTGACCAATGGCAAAGGCACACCCACCTGTGCTGTCCTTGAACTTACCCAGGCCCCTCTCTCAGGCTGCCCTGGTCATGTCACAGGGGTCCCTGTGAGCCATGCAGAGTTGGGAACCTGTGTTTGAGGGTGGTTCTAAACCATAGGCAACGTTGCCGACCACCGCAGTATCTAGGTGCTTTTGAGTCCTAATAGCTAATCAGCAAGGCTTCCCTGGTAGCTCAGCTGGTAAAGAATACCTGTAATGCAGGAGACCCTGGGTTGGGAAGATCCCTTGGAAAAGGGATAGGCTATCCACTCCAGTATTCTTGGGCTTTCCTGGTGGCTCAGATGGTAAAGAATCCACCAGCAATGTGGGAGACCTGGGTTCAATCCCTGGGTGGGGAAGATTGGGGGGCATGGCAGGAGGGCATGGCAGCCCACTCCAGTATTCTTGCCTGGAGAATCCCCACGGACAGAGGAGCCTGGTGGGCTACAGTCCATGGGGTCATAAAATGTCAGACACGACTGAGCGAGTAAGCACAGCATCATATCGGCAACTTGTCACTGTGGGGTGCTGCTCGTGTGCTGTAGAAGGCAGAGGGTCGATGGTTTTGTGAAATAGAGCCATGGGCTCCAACTGCTCATCTTCTGCCAGGACTGGGGTGGTATGCTGTATCTTTCTCTAGTAGATGAAACATAGTCTAGAGTCAGTAGGTTAGAGACACATGCTTGTGAAAACTCAGAGCTGGGATCAAGTAAATGTCTTGACCCAACATCACTCCCAGGGTGACTCCCCCTCTGCTGGCCAAGGAGCCTGCCTTCCTCTGTGGAGGAGCTGGGATGGAGAGTGCCCTCTGTTGCCTGTCCCCAGTGGCTGTCCTTTAGCCATCAGCAGGGAAAATGATGGCAAATGCTCCAGCCATCACCATGCCATTAGTGCCAGCGGCCTTGCAGAGAGAGAGCTGGGGGATTCCCTCTCTTCTAGGGTCTGCAGTGGGACAACAAGCAAAAACATTTCATGGTGCCACACTAAGTGAAAATATCTCACTTACCGGAAGCTTGAATCAACCTCTTAGGAAATTCCAGTCCATAGTTTGGTTTATTTTGGGTTTTTTCCCCCCTCTTTTTTTTTCTTTTTTTGGAAGTTTGATCTTGAGGTTAAATATCGAAAGGACATTGTAAAAGACTTCTGTAGGGATGCAAAGGATGAGAAAATGAGGGATGCTTTCTGGGTCAGGGTGAGTGTGTTTGGAAAGTGGAGTCCGTGTGAAGTTTGATGATGGGACAATGAGGCAGAAAGATGCAAGAGGTTAACAGCATGGCAGTGAGTTTGGGGGCTTGGTGATGGGGTAATGAAAATAGGAATGGTGCTCCGCAGGAAGCAGGGAGAAAGGGAAGAAGGGAAGTTGCTAGGCAACTTCCCGGGGCAGAGGAGAGAAATCTAGAGGGAGGAAGCACTCTCAAAAGTGCTCCTTTGTGCCGTGGGTGGCTATCTCCGGCCAGAACAAACAGACCCAAGAGGCTGGTCACACCTAGTTGGCAGCCGGCTGTTCATCCCGAGCTACTTCCTGCAGTAATAAACATTCAGGAAGTGTCAAGGGCACAGAACTCCAGGAGGACTGCAGCAAACAGTCTGCATGGCGGCTGGGGTGCAATACCAAAATGAAAGCTGTTTATTCTACAGTTTGTGCCACAGAGGAGATAATGGCATGGCCGCTGGTGCCAAGGGTTGTGGTTAAAAACACATTCACCCAATGCCAACTAGATGCTGTGTTACTTGCTGGGAAGAAACAAAGGTAAACCAGACATGATCCCTGTCCATGGGCAGTTCCCCATCTGGCGGGGGAGAAAGACACAAAATAAATGTGTTGCTAATTAGCTATAGTTAAGGGGTATAAAGGGCTTCCCTGGTAACTCAGCTGGTAAAGAATCTGCCTGCAATGCAGGACACCCGGGTTCAATTCCTGGGTGGGGAGGATCTCCTGAGAAGAGATAGGCTACCCACTCCAGTATTCTTGGGCTTCCCTTGTGGCTCAGCTGGTAAAGAATCTGCCTGTAATGCGGGAGACTTGGGTTCGATCCCTGAGTTGGGAAGATCCCCTGGAGGAGGTCATGGCAACCCACTCCAGTATTCTTGCCTAGAGAATCCCCTCTGTCCATGGGGTCTCCAAGAATCAGACACGACAGTGACAAAGCCCAGCACAGCACGTGGGGTATAAAAGCGCTCCCCAGGTGATGCTAGTGGTAAAGAACCTGTCTGCCAGTGCAGGAGATGTAAGAGACTTGGGTTGGATCCCTGGGTTGGGAAGATCCCCTGGAGAAGGGAATGGCAACCTACTCCAGTATTCTTGCCCAAAGAATCCCGTGGACAGAGGAGCCTGGAGGGCTACCATCCATAAGGTCACAAAGAGGTGAACACGACTGAAGCGACTTTGCGCACATGCGCGTACAGGGGGTATAAAACAAAGCTGAATCCTTGAGAGGATAAATTCTGGAGTAGGTTTCAAATCCCAAGTCTGCCTCGCACTCGCTGCGACCTTGCAGAAGTTACTTACTGTCTCATCTGTAAAACACAAATGTAAGAGTGCCTATGTCATACGGTTACTATGAGAACAGAGTGCATTGACAATTGCCAGGTGCTGAGGATAATGTGTAACAAATAGTGAGGTTTGTTAAATAAATTCTGGATAGAGGTAAGGAAGGCTTCCCAGGTGACACAGTGGGAAAGAATCCGCCTGCCAAGAAAGGAGACACAAGAGACACAGTTTCGATCCTCGGGTTTGAGAAGATCCCCTGGAAAAGGAAATGGCAACCTAGGCCAGTATTCTTCCCTGGAAAATTCCATGGACAGAGGAGCCTGGCAGGCTACAGTCCATGGGGGTCACAAAGAGTCAGACACAACTGAGCATGCACACACACAGAGGTAAGGAACCAAAGCGAGGAGTGCAGTACTGAATGTGGCTAAGTCCCTTTGGATACGCACATCCTTGTATAAAGGTGCCGTCCTGCATAGGTCCACCTGGGATGCCGGGACACATCTCCTTCTCAATTATGTGGTTCTTCAATTATAACACTGAGCACCATATGCCATTGAAAGACACCTTCTCTGGGTGAAGGGAATCAGATCTTTCAAACTCAGATCCCCAGCCTAAGGGAGAACTGAGTCGCAAAGCTTGCCTTTACTGTCCCCTGGAATTAGAACAGTCACATGCCATCAGCAGGGCTCCCTCTCTGCATGGGGGCCACTACCCTTCCCTCTTCATCTATAAAACCCCAAGTGGCGCTACCCTGCTAAGCTGCTTCCAGCTTTCCCTAGAAATTTTAGTGAGTCCCGGAATGCGCCCACTGGAAGCCTGGTATTCCAACCTTCCTGGCCAGGTAAGCATGTTGCCTGTTGGACTAAAATAAATGTAGATCTGCAGAGCAGCACATGATGTCCTTTACTGTCCCAGCCCTATCCCCTGCAAGGCATTCATGACACTTGGCTGGCAGGACCCAGAGCCAGCCACCTGCCACAAATAGAGGTGACTCCAGAATGTCAGCTGTACAGAGACAGGGTATTTATGGCACAAACGTTTTGCAGAAGAAAGGGAGAGGGGGGAAATGCCATAAAAAAAAGAACAGGGAGAGTCCTAAAAACCCATTTTCTCTGCAGGACCAGACTCCCAGGCCCCCGCCCCATCCTGCACCATCGCCATCAGGGGCTCCAGGGTCTGGGTCATCCGGGACCACACCAAGCAAGAGCTGACCCCACTCTCAGGGTTTACCAGGAGAGAGAAAATGATCAGTCTATGGAAAGTCCCAGTTTTCTGTCCCAAAGGAGTTGCTTTGGTCAATTCAGGTAAAGGATGAGACTCAGAGCTCTCTCATTGATCTCACACTTGAGGGCACTTGCCTGGGGATGTTTAGAAATCTCTCCTGCAATGACCTCCTCCCATGGTAAACCATAATCTTTGTGTCTAAGTACAAGGGCCTCTTTGGGAAGGTGGTGAAATGCTACCCTCTCTCCCTGCACACAGTCTCCTCTTTAGGCCCGCTGACTCTCCCCATCTTCACCCATCTGCTAGGCTGGCCCACTGACAAGTTGGCTTGACCCCTGACCTCAGGCACACATCCAAGGCCACATGGGCTTAGATGGCAGGTCTGAGTAATGCCGGAGGTACCATCTGTCCAGCAGGAAGACCATCTTCTGAGTCAGTCCTCAAGTACTGATTCCATATTTTCATCACAGCTGGTAACTCTTATTTGCCAAAATGAAAGATACCTGCACAGTCAGACCAGGAAGGCATGTAATTCAGGGACAATCTGAAATGTGAACTGGAAGTTTCAAGGCATGGAAGGATCTCTCAGAAAATCTGATAACAAAAAATAAAAGAAAGGAAATTAGAAAATTACTCGAGAATAAGAAATTATCAAGACACATAGAAAAATCCAGAAAGATTCCTAAACCGTAGAGAATAAGTCAGCAAAGAGTCACTCGGTTGTGTCCGACTCTTGGCAACCCCATGGACTGTACCCCCACCAAGCTCCTCTGTCCATGGAATTCTCTAATACTGGATTGGGTAGCCATTCACTTCTCCAGGAGATATTCCCGACCCAGGGACTGAACCTAGGTCTCCTGCACTGCAGGTGGATTCTTTACCATCTGAGCCACCAGGGAAGCCCAAGCTTCTGTCAAAAATCAAAACCACTCAAAACGTTTCTAAAGACTTCATGGATGATCTGCCTTGAGGCCAAATACTCCACCTTTGGTCATCGCAGAATGTGTCCAGGATTCTTCTAGACAAATCAGAAACCTCAGTATTTCAGGCAATATTTGGATGTCAGGGAAGGGAAGTGACCACCCCCAGAAATAATACCATCACTTACGTAAACCTGGAGTCAGAGGGTAGGGGGGATTAGAAGTATTGGCTGGAAGAGCCAGTTTCAAAACGACCTCTAAACTTGCTTTTATTGAATGAGTTTATTGGACAAGACTGGCTACCAGCAGAAAGTGCCTTGACTCCTTTCTGTAAGTCCTTCATAAGAGCCCCCAACCCTAAGTAACACCCCAAACAGACCTTATAGCTCCAGATCCAAAGAGCTCCACGCCAGACCAATGCATTCTCTTACCCATCTTTTTGTTGTTCCTTTTTCTTTTGTTTATTTAAAGCTCCTCCCTTTTCCCCCACTTGGGCCTGGCTAAGGGTGGGAATTTATTGGGGGAGGGGGAGGAAGGAAGAGATTTGAGCCTCTTAGTCAGGAGAGGGGGAAGACTTATCTCCCCTTAACTTAGCCCCCAACTTATTGCATCTGGTTCAAGACCCTCAGGCTTGAGTGCAGGGCAGAAAGGGTTAGAGGAGAAAATCTGACAGACCTGCAGGGATGTAGGCTAGTGTTGGGGCTTCCTGGGAATAGATAGCGCAATAGGGAAATTAAAGAACAAAGATGGTAACCTCACTTGCCCATAATTAGAAAATGGCAGAGCACGGATTTGACCTGAGCAACCCAGCCCTGCAAACTCCGTTACCCTTGCCTTGAGTGATGCCTCATGATGCTTCTTAAGATCTGCCCCGGCCTCAGGCAGTCCCTACCCCATACCACACACCTCCACCGGGGCTGCCCTACTGTGCCCCTGGGCCTCTTGGCCAGGGTCCCTCCCAAGATGACTTCTAGTTGGATTTCTCCCATTAAACCGGCACTTGGGCTGACACAGCTCTGGGCATTTGACTCCTCATTGAGCAGTCCTGTCCTTCTGGTGCCAAAAACTCAGTCACTGTGCTCTGGTGCCTAGTTGAATCTGGGAGACAGAATTTTGGGTGAAGTAGAAAAGAATAGCTTTTTTGCTTTGCCAGGCAAAGGGGGATACAGAGGGCTTGTGCCCCTGAAAAACTGCGTGTCTCCATCTGGAGGGATTTGGTGAAAATCTTCATAGCAGTAGTGCAAGGGCTAATATGTTTAGGGCATGTGCAGGGCCTGTACTCCTTTAATCTGGCCTCAGATGGTCTTCTCTGGAAGGAAGATTGCTGCCATCTTGCCTTTCTTGGGGGTTTTAGTTTTATAAAGATATTGCATTAAGATATTGCTATTTGTATCCCTTGGGTCAGAACCGCCCCAGGTCTGCACTGCTGTTTCTGGACTGTTTCTCCCTTGTCTCTGCATCCCCTCCCTTCCCTGATTAGCAACTGTTTGAATCTGCCCTTTGGAGCTCAGGGAAGGTCATGGAGGCTGGAGTCTGTTCCCTACAAACAAGAAGCAAGGAACACGAGAAGGCTTCTGTACTCAGGAAACCCATAGGGCCCTGCTGGGCTTCGCTCCTACCCTGCTGCTCCAGCTCCGCAGCATCCTCCCGTCTTTAGATCCCCCAACATACGTAGGAAGCAGATCCGGGAGTCCCCACATGTCCAGGGATGCGTGTCCCACCCCCTGAAAAGTACTTGTGGTTCCCTTGGCTTCATGTGAGGGAAACTCCCAGTGCTGATAGCTCTCTAAAGAATTCCTCACCCTCTGCCTTTTGCCTTTTTCAAGGATTTATTTTTATACCCCAGGGTGGGCCATGAGAGTCAAAATCAACTTCACCATCTCTTAGTGTTTCTTCTAGGGGTGATCTAACATGTACTGTTCTCAGGCTTTGGGGCCCTTAGTCGAAACTGAAAATGCAGAAAGAACAGAAAAAGTCACATTTGACCTCTTATGGAAATGGCACCCCACTCCAGTACTCTTGCCTGGAAAATCCTATGGATGGAGGAGCCTGGTGGGCTACAGTCCATGGGGTCGCAAAGAGTCAGACACGACTGAGCGGCTAAACTAAACTAAAACTATACATGTTAGAGACACTAAGCTCTAAAGCATAACTCTGTCCTCCAGGAAAACAGAATAAGGGAGGAAGGAATAATGAAAGAGAAGGGCAAAAAGAAAGAGAAAGAGGCAAAAAGAATCGGAGAAAGTGAAAGTGAAAGAAAGAGAAAAAAGACGAAGAGAGAGAGCCAGAGGGATCAGATTGAGTCCATTGGTGTAACACAGGATATGAAGGCCTCCTGTTGGTATCACACGGTTTATCATCACAGTTGGTGTGTATAATCACAGTTTATGAAGCTCTTTGTAGAATCTAACCACAGCCTTCTAAGAAAGACTGTACAGTCACTGTTCTACAGATGAGAAAGTTAATAGATGAGGAAATGATGAGAACCCCATGGCAGCCTGACTTGCAGGTGGTGGTGGTTTAGTCGCCAAGTCATGTCTGACTCTTGCGACCCCATGGACTATAGCCCTCCAGGCTCCTCTCCATGGGACTCTCCAGGCAAGAAAACTGGAGTGGGTTGCCACTCCTTCTCCAGGGGATCTTCCTGACCTGGGAATCGAACCTGGGTCTCCTGCATTGGAGGCGGATTCTTTACCAACTGAGCTACAAGGCAAGCCATGACTTGCAGAGATGCCCACAAATGAGGGGACGGCCTTCCACCTCATTGCTCTTACTCTGCAATTAGCATTCATGTGATGCCTTATCTGACGTGGCTCCAAGGCTCCTGCAGCCCCTGGTTCTCCCTCCGTCTGTCTGGTTACTTCTCAGTCTTCCTTGGTTATTCCTCATCCTCCCAACCTCTAAGCACCCCAAGCTCAGGGCTCAGGCCTCTCTGCTTTTCTACCTCCACTCACCCTCTGGGAGATCTTATCCAGACTGGTAGCTTTAAATGTGATCTACCTGCTGGTGGCTCCCACAGTGGCATCTCTAGTCTGACTCTCTCCACCATCCAGCTGCCTACTCGCCATCTCAAACATGAGACGTTGGAAGCAGAGCTCCTACTATTCTGCTTTGAGCCCAGTTCTCACCATAGACATCCACACATCTGTAAACAGCAAGTCCATTCTTCTTGTTGCCCAGAATGGGTACCCTGAAAGCATCTTTGGCCCCCCTGTTTCTCTCCTGTCCTACACACCCAATCCATCCAGTACTTTTGGTGTTGTGCCTTCAAAATATACCCAGAACCCAACCACCGCTCAGCACTGGCACGGCTACACTTGGTCCAAGGGGATCTGGAACCACAGTGCCCTCCTGGCCAGTTGCCCTGCTTGTATCCTGGCCTCTGGATACAAGCCTGCCTGCAGCTTGCAGGCCCAGAGGCTGCTCTTTTTGGAGTATTAGGCAGAGCATGCCAGAACTCGGCAGGAGTCCACCCCCCATACACACCCAGTGATCTCTGCCATACTGGGAAAGGGAAAGTGTTAGTCTCTCAGTCCTGTCTGACCCTTTGTGACCCCATGGACCATAGCCCACCAGGCTCCTCTGCCCATGGGATTCTCCAGGCAAGAATACTGGAGTGGGATACTATTCCCTTCTTCAGGGGATCTCCTCAACCCAGGGATCAAACCTGGGTCTCCTGCATTGCAGGTGGATTCTTTACCAGTGAGCCACCAGGGATGCCTCCCATACTGGGAAGAAAACCCCAAACCCTTCTAAGACCTATAGCCCCACATGGACCGACCGGCAGGAGCTCGCCAACCTTCTCTCCTTGCACACCCTTTCCCCTCAGACCATCGCTGCTGCCTTGACCTTCCCCTACCCACCCCCCCGACCCTTGAATGTGTCGGGCACTCACTCTCCCAGCCTTGAAGCTCTCTCCTCCCGCACAATCAGGTGACTTCAGACCTTCACTTAAATGTCACCTTTTTGATGGCCCACCCATCTCCGGCCACTCTGTCTGTATCAGATATCCTCCACACATCACGACCTCAGGTCCATTTCTTCTTCCTTCTTCCCTTTGGACAGAAATCTTAGCAGATCCCTTAGAAGTCAGTCCTAGGAGATGCAGGGATCAGTTGTACTTGATACCAAGCAGTGAATATGGTGGAGCCTGCATTGATTCTTTTTTTTTTTCCTTCATTTATTTTTATTAGTTGGAGGCTAATTACTTTACAATATTGTAGTGATTCTTACATTGATTCTCCTGCCTTCCTGCCTCACTAACTCCTATCTCTCACTCTCGTTTCCTAGAATTTTCTTGCCAATAAAGTAAAAGCATGTTTGTCCTCTATATCTGTGAGTCTATTTCTGTTTTGTTATATTCATTTGTTTTATTTTTTAGATTCCACATATAAGTGAGGGCATAATATATTTGTCTTTTTCTGTCTGACTTAGTTCACTAAATATAAAACCCTCAGGGCCATCCCTATTGTTGCAAATGGCAAAATTTCATTCTTTTTATGGCTGAGTAGTATTCCACAGTGTGTGTGTATATATATATATGTACACCACATCTTCTTTATCCATTCGTCTGTTGATGGACACTTAGTAGTTACCAGTGTGGAGCAAGAAAGGGGGAGGGCAAATATGGCTGGAGGATTAAGAGGTACAGACTACTATATATAAAATAAATAACCTACAAAGTTATATAGTATAGCACAGGGCATATAGCCAATATTTTATAATCACTTTAAGTGAAGTATAATCTATAAAATTCTTGAATCACTATGTTGTACACCTGAATTAATATAATATCATGAACCAACTACACATCTGGTCCCATCACTTCATGGCAAATAGATGGGGAAACAGTGGAAACAGTGAGAGATTTTATTTTGAGGGGGCTCCAAAATCACTGCAAATGGTGAGTGCAGCCATGAAATTAAAAGACGCTTGCTCCTCGGAAGAAAAGCTATGACCAACCTAGACAGCATACTAAAAACCAGAGACATTGCTTTGCCAACAATGGTCTATCTAGTCAATGTTATGGTTTTTCCAGTAGTCATGTATGGATGTGAGAGCTGGACTATAAAGAAAGCTGAGCGCCAAAGAATTGATGCTTTTGAACTGTGGTGTTGGAGAAGACTCTTGAGAGTCCCTTGGACTGCAAGGAGATCCAACCTGTCCATCCTAAAGGAGATCAGTCCTGAATATTCATTGGAAGGACTGATGCTGAAGCTGAAACTCCAATACTTGGGCCACTAGATGCAAAGAACTGACTCACTGGAAAAGACCCCGATGCCAGGAAAGATTGAAGGCGGGAGGAGAAGGGGATGACAGAGGATAAGATGGTTGGATGGCATCACCGACTCAATGGACATGAGTTTGAGTAAACTCTGGAAGTTGGTGATGGACAGAGAGGCCTGGGATGCTGCAGTCCATGGGGTCACAAGAAGTCGGACACAACTGAGTGACTGAACTGAACTGAACCATATATCAATCAATTAATTAACTAATTAATTAAGAGTAAAAGCACACGAGCTTCAGTTTTAAGCACTATGTTCTGTGAAACTCAGTTTCTAAAACTGTAAGTCTTCTGCCAACAGACACACACATATACACACATACAAACACACATACATACACACACATGACTTCCTATCCTATTTCCTTCTTTATTTTTCATCTCAGCACCTATCATTGTATACTATACCATATATATTTACTAATTTATTCTGTTTACTGTCTCTGGAATACAATTTCTATGACTTTTTCTATTTTGTTTACCTTTGCATCACAAGTTTCTAAAATATAGTAAAATGAAAGTGAAAGTGAAGTCGCTCAGTTGTGTCCAACTCTTTGTGACCCCATGGACTGTAGCCTACCAGGCTACTCAGTCCATGGAATTTTCCAGGCAAGAGTACTGGAGTGGGTTGCCATTTCCTTCTCCAGGGGATCTTCCCAACCCAGGGATCGAACCTGGGTCTCCCGCATTGCAGGCAGACGCTTCACCCTCTCAGCCACCAGGGAAAACCCAAAATAGAGTAGGTGCTCAATAAATATTTGCTGAATGAATGAGAATGAAAAGAAGCTTGACCTAAAGAACTTTGGAAAATCAACTTTATATGCAGCCACTGAGAAGAGGCAGCTCCCTGAAGACAGAACTGAACCAGAGACGGTGCTGTGTGGATCCACGTCTGCTGGGAAAGCCCTGGACCTCAGAAACAGACTGGTTATTCCATGTCTTAGTGGGTAGACAGGTGTAGGGGTCCCTACAATGAGGTGACACTAGATTCACTCATAGTTTATGTCTATGAAACTGAATAAACTAGTTTCCTGCATCTTAAAACAAAGGATCTTGAAAGAAATAATCTTTACTGTTGATATTTTCCACATGTTTAATGTAAATAGAATTTGTATTGTTTCAGTTCAGTTCAGTTCAGTCGCTCAGTCAAGTCTTGACTCTTGGCAACCCCATGGACTGCAGCATCCCAGGCTTCCTTGTCCATCACCAACTCGCAGAGTTTACTCAAACTCATGTCCATTGAGTCGGTGATGCCATCCAACCATCTCATCCTCTGTCATCCACTCTTCCTCCTGCCTTCAATCTTTCCCAGCATCAGGGTCTTTTCCAATGAGTCAGTTCTTCGCATCCAGTACCCCAAGCATTGGAGTTTCAGCTTCAGCATCAGTCCTTCCAATGAATATTCAGGATTGATTTCCTTTAGGAAGGACTGGTTGAATCTCCTTCTGTCCAAGGGACAATGTGTACTGTTTCACATTCGACAATAAAGTATGCCATGAATTTAGATGACATCTTTGCTACTATTTTTTTTAATCCTAGTGGTTCTGTAATGTTCCAGTTACATTTTACCCAGAAAATCACTTTCCTGAGAGGAAAATGCTAAAACTATATCAAATGTTCTAGACATTCCAGGCTGATATAAATAAATTCCCAATAGCAGAATTCACTGTGCACTTGGTCGTGGTGGGATTAGGAGGGGTTATCCTGCCTTTCACAGCCTCTGCCAAGGCAAACAGGAGTATCTTTGTGATCATTTTGGAAATCAGCCATATCAAAAGGCTTTTACAGCAGTCAAGCAATATTTATTTGAAATCCAGACTGTCTACAAAATATCTAAAAGTGCCTGTTGACTAGAAACAAGATCAATACAGATAATAGTATATTGTGAGTGACTCTGAATCTGGAGAGTCCTTTATTTTATTGAGGGTACAGTACACACACCAGTCAAGTCTCTAATGAGAGAAATAGTGCTTTTCAGAGGAAACAGATCTATTATGGTAAAGATTCAAGTGATTATAGCAGAAGAATCTATAGAATAGTAGATTTCAGCAAGATGTTTGACTAAGTCACGATGTCCCCTCATGGACAACAGGGAGAACGAAGACCTTCCTTATTTGGCTAGAGTGAGGGTAACATAGAAAGAAAATAATTATTATCATGTATTATTATAGAATTCAGCTTCTGGTGCAGAAAACTATTCTATATGTGGTTGTTATTATTATGATAATAACTATATTAGCCATGAACAGTGAAGACTTATCATGTATAAGATGAGTTAAATGCATCCAGTATCATCTAGAGGCTAGGAGAGCTTTTCAAGCCCCAGCTGAAGGGCTAAGGAGGGTGCAGGATTGGGAGGAAGTCTGAGGTTGGAACTCTCCCGCACCACTCAGTGATATCAATCCCAGAGGGATGACTGACCTAGGACAAGATCAGGGGAGAGCTGCTGGTCCAAACACAGCCAAGCAAAAAGCAGCTCAGTGGTCGCCTTAGAGATGAGAAGTGGGAGGAAGGGATGACTAAGGGGTGAGGGAAAATTTGGGGGACTGATGGATATAGTCACAATTTTTGTTGCGGCAATTGTTTCATGGTGCGTGGGTGAGGCTCAGTCGCGTCTGACTCTCTGCAACCCCCTGGACTGTGGCCCACCAGGCTCCTCTGTCCATGCAATTCTTCAGGCAAGAACACTGGAGTGGGTTCCCATTTCTTCTCCAGGGGATCTTTCTGACCCAGGAATCGGACCCAGGGATCAAACCCACATCTCTTGCATCTCCTGCGTTGGCAGGCTGGTTCTTTTACCACTAGTGCCACCTGGAAAACGGAGGTTTTTCCTCACATTTTCCACATGAGGAAGGGATCATGAGTCAAGGAATACAAGTAGCTTCAAGAAACTGCAAGAAACAAGGAAACAGACTCTCTTCTCAAAGCCTCCAAAAGGTATCAGTGCTGTTGACACTTTTTTTTTTTTTTGCAGCTTATGTACATCACTTAAGCAGCTCAGTGAAGGTGGAGAGAAGTAGATAAGAGAGGAGAAAAAAAGGAAAAGAAGAAAGAAAGAATAAATTAAGCCTTGTCAGAGATGTCAGAGTAACTAACTTTGGGTCGGGTGCCTGGAAGTCAGTGATCAATTCCAACGTGGGACTGGAGTTGCCAGTCCTGCTTGCAAAACGGGAATGTGCAGATGCGATTGGATGCTCTGATGTGAGGGCAAACCCTGAGGGAGACAGGGCCGGGGGAAAAGGATGAGTGTGTCTCTCACGGTGGGGACAGAGTGCAGTGCTTTCGCCTTACGGGTTGTTCTACAGGTTGCTCCCTGCACCCCACCCCTGCACTTAAAAGAGACTATGGGCAGATTCAGTCAATGGAACTTACTGGGCACCATATTCAAATGAAGGAGCAGAAGGGCTGTCTTGGGAGGCGGTGAGCTCCAATCACTGGCAGGGTTCAGATGAATGTTGGCTGATCAAACCTTGCTGCCTAATGGCCTAAGAAGCTTGTTAAAATAATTCCCCCACTCCCACTCCTGTCCTTGAACTACTGAATCACAATCTCCATGGAGTGGCAACTGACATCTGTATTTTTTTCAACTTCCCAGGCGATTCTGAGGCAGCCTTCGTTTGGTGTTTGATGCTGTAGAATTGTACTCAATTAATTATCTCTATAGTTTCAAGTTTCTACAATTCAGTAAATACCCTGGATATTTGAAATTATCCTTTGTGTCCTACAGAAGACTTTGGGGACAGACTCCTCTCTTTTCCCAGAGAAGAGGGAAAGTCTTTCAAAGTATGGGATCCTCAACGTCTTGATTCCAAGCACTAATAACATGGGTGTAAAGCCTAGCCTGTCAATATATTCATCCCTGAAGTCCTGGCCATCTCCTGGGTGAAGGTGTCCACTCCTCCTGGGTCCTAGCACCTCTTCTCCCCACTCTGAACCCTACAGCAGCAAATATCTCACGGACCTTTTAAAAATGGGACCAGGGGAGCAGAGGGTGAGTGTCCTGTGTTGTCTGAGCATCATTTGCTGGAAGATTCAATAGACTCAATTAAGAATGCATGCCCAGCAAGCTGCAAGCTAATTGAGAAATCAGACTAAAGAAAAGGGCATATGGAGACCAAAACAGCATCCTCATGGTTGATAAATCTGCTATCAGAATAGCAGAGTGCACAGCACAACCCAGCACAGCCCCCGTCACAGGCAGCGCTGGGGAGGGTGCTCCACCATAGGATAGAGCCTGCTCTCAAATTATCTATTCACAGAGGAGCAGAGCAGAGTGAGTGCCTCTGGGGGCAGGCTGACCCTGGGAGGTGGGGAGGCAAAGGAGAGAGTTTCATGGACCCAGTGTCTCCTGGCTCTCCAGTTAGAATCCTCAGGAGGGCCAAGGTGGGGAACGACAAGGTTACAGGGATGGACGCCCTCCAGAGCGGGAAGGAAGTCTCCCTGTCTCCCCCAACTCCTTGTTCTTCCTCTTCTGTGTATGTCTTGTCTTGCTGAGTGAAGTATAAGCCGATGGAGCGCAGGGATTATGTGTTATCTTGTTTTGATACTTTCTCCAAAGTGCTGGGCACTGTGCTCGATGTATTATGGATACTCAAAGACATGTTCAGGACAAAGAACCAGAAACCAAGGACAAAGAGAGAAGAAGGAGAGGGGGAAGACTGTGGTGGCGATTTGCAGGCATCTTAAGGATGAGGGAAATGGGCGTGCTGAAGGGTTTTCACAATGGAGGCAGGTAGCCTGAATTCGAGTCCTGCTTCTGCCTGTATTATTATTATATTCTGCCTGGCTGTATTATTCTGAGCAAGGTGCCTACATTCTCCCATCTGTGCCTACCACAGAGCCTCGCTGTGAGCATAAATTGGGTTTTGGCCTATTGATGGGTTAAAATAAAGTGGGCAAACTGAAACCTGTGGTCAATCTGACCCAATGCTTGTTTTCATAATTAAAGTTTTGTTGGAACCCAGGCACACCCATTCGTGGATGTGTTGCCCACAACTGCTTTCACACTACAGGGCAGAGTTGAGTGGTTGAAATAGGTCTCATGGCCTTCAAAGCCTGAAATATTGACTCTCTGGACCTTTATGGAGAAGATTTGCTGACAAACCCCTGGCTCAGAACACAAGAGCTCTGTTCTTTATCCATCAGAAATGGAAGATTCAGTGTTGGTGTTACCTTCTTTCCCTACAGTAGTTCCCAGTTCAGACGATCAGGCTTGGGAGCTCCTTCCAACTGTCACTCCCAGCTCCGCAAGCCTGCTTCCACAGCACCCTCACCAGGCGTGCTCTCCGTGGTCTGGGCTTCCTCCCCTGGATTCTCCAGGTTGGGACTGTGTCTTCTTCACTGATCCAGCCTAGAGCCTTGGGCAGAATTGAACCCCAGGAAATGCTTGCTCCACTAACACAGTAACCAGAAATACATGAACACACAATATGAACTCTCAGAAACAAGTGGCTATAAACCTACAGAGGGACAAAGGCTAGAGGTCTGAGCAGGCCCCTCGGGACTTCTCCCCCATCGCTGTGACTGGGGCAGATCTTCACATGCTTTCTGCTGTCTGATTTCCTCTTTATTTCTCCGCATCTGGCCGCAGGGGGCACTGGAATAGCAGCCGTTCTGTCCTCACTGATCAGCATGCAATCTACAGCTGGCATTGCTTTTCACTCCTGGTGGGGTCATCAGCCTCCCTGCCGAGGCCCAGGAGTTTAGACCAAGACACGGCGGCAGTAAGGACTTGGGTCTACTTGGACCTGCGAGGGCTCGGGGCAGATGCTGCCGTGGGAGCGGAGGAATGCGCCCGCCCTTGCGTTCGACAGCCGGTGTGCGGGGGCATTCTTATCATGCTTCTTGTGGAGCTGCATCTGCTCCTGGCTTTCAGAACTCCGGAGCATTTTCACAACAAAATGTTAGGCTATATTTATCTATCACATCACCAAAGCCCGTCTTTGAAATTTCTGTCCAGGAAACGTTTGCGCTGTGCTGTTAACGAGTTCAGCAAACCTGACGCCTCCCTGATCCTTGACTTCTTCCCCTGTAAAAGGAGCGGAGCTGGTCACAAGCCTCCCCTCCCCACCCTTGACTCTGACATCGAGGCCCCTACAAGGTCACAGAACCCTCTGGGCTGGAAATTCCTCTAGGTGGGATTAGCAGCTGATTCAGACAGTGACCTGCTTGGGGAGCAGGTGGCTGGATCCCACCATCTGTGAAGCCCTCTGTCTATAGGATGCCGACCCCTGGTCCTCCCACTGACAAGATCTTGCCCATATTCACCTTTCTAAGGTAAAATTGCTCAAAAATCTCTGAGTAGCCTGATCTTTCCCAAGGCTCCTTGGGGCTCAAAGGTGAAGTCAATGTTTGTCTCCAAGAATTCATTAGCTGCTATTGCCAATCAGAGCTGTTTTCTCTGAGTGGAAACGGGCTCCCTGGGACTCTGTGGGTCACCAGGCCAACAGCTTAACATGCAGAATCTACAGATGCCAGGTGTGTGATCCACCAGGACTAGCGGGTAACACGTAACATTTCCTTTGCCAACTCAGCAGTCTGGCTGCCCATCAGGGACCAGCTGAAAAATACCTGCTATGTCTAGTGGATGAGACCCAGGCCCATCAGACAGCAGACTGCAAACCTTGGATCTGGAAAACTGAATCCTTCTCCTGGGCGTTCTGGCAAGCTCTCCTTCCAGTGTGACTTGAAAGAAGAGGCTTGTTTTTCTTCCCCCCTTACAGCATTTTGATTCCCATGGGAATCAGTAAGTAGAAACGTATTTGTAGAGTAATGGGTAAAAACGATTACTAGGTTTTTAAAATGCTCTTTCTGATATTCCAGTTCACTCACAGGTGACAGTTATACTGACAGCCACACTTGTTCATGCTCCAGAGAAATCTTCTTTGCTTAAAACTGCATTAAGCGCTGTTTGAAAAGTAACAACCCTTGTGTGGCTTTCCCCTCAGTGTTCAGGGTCTTTGCCATCCTCCTCCACGGGAGCTGACAACGTTTTAGCAAAGTTGGCTACCGGCGCTGTAATTCCATTTGGGGCAGAGCAACGTCTCAGGATGCATAGGAATCTGCCTCCCTCAGATCAATGGCCTCAAGAAATGTCCTGGGGAGATGATGCTGGTCCAGGGTGACGGCTGCAGCCCTCTTCTCTGGAACAGATTATTCTGGCTGGGGAAAGGCCACTAAATGAACTCTTTTTAATTAAAACCCCCTGAACCTTACTTATTAAGACTTCTGGCACACGCTGACAGTGGAATTTTTCCTGCATGGTCCTTTGGGGAGCTACCTAAATGACTCTGGCAGAGAAATGACATATAAATAACATTTAGGATTATTATTATGGGGCTAGGTTCTCATCCTGTGTTACCGTCTGGGAATTCTACTGCTCACACTTGCTCGTTATAAATACTGTATCCTTCACCTTCCCCCAAGCACGCAGGGGACAAGGCAGGGGAGGGCCCAGTGGGGTTGGAAGATGCATCCTTTGGAAGATCCATTAACTGAAGTCAGTTTGAGAGTCATTCTGCACATGATTAAATAAGCTATAACAAATCGTTCCCTATTTCAGGTAATTCATTCATTCTCCAAGTCTCCAGGGAGTGGTTTTTAGACCTGTTTCGGGAATGAAAACATGCTGAGTTGGCCCAGTGGAACGTGAAACTGTAGAACGATGACACTGACCTGCCACAGATAATAAACCAGGATCCCGCACAGAGGGGCCTTGTCTCTGACCAGATGGGACCCCATCAGGAGGCAGAGGATAGGGACCGGAGCTGATTCCCAACATTTAACGGAAGCGCTTCTATTTGGGAATGCTGGTGCCGGATCCTGCGCTGACCACTGGTTCACCCAGCAAATAATTGAGTCTGTGCCATGTGTCAGGGCCCACTCTCCGTACCAGTCTGGGTGGGACCGGTAAAGTCAGCTCTCTGGAAGCTCAAATTCTAAGGTGTGGTGTGGGGGAGATAAGCAGACAAGAAAACAAAAATAGATAAACTCAGATGGGCAAAAAATGACAGTCAACAAAACTGTGATGGAAACTGACAGGGAAAAGTAGGCCCGTGGGATCCTAGACAGTTCTGATAAGAGTGAGTGACGAAGGCTCCTGGAAGGAGGTAGCATTTGAGCTGAGACCCAAAGAATGAGAAGCAGAGAGACCTAGAGGCATCTGACTAGAGCTTCGAGGGCAAAAGAAATAGCAAGTGCAAATACCCTGAGGCCAAAACATGCACGGAGGTTTCAGGAGCAGAAAGCAGGAGGTCCTAATTGGGCCAAGTGAACAGCAGGGGGTGATATGAATGTGACAAGAGAAGCAGATGGTGCCAGATCACCTCCAAGGCTTGGATTAGGTAAGTCTTGGATTTCATTCTGAGAGCATGGGCAGCTATGAGAGGTCCTACAGAAAAGACTGCTAGTTGCCCCCATATTCATTCTCCCTTTCTTTTTAGTTCCAGAATCTTTGATTTTTAGCCAGCAAATGCCACACAGTTTGAAAGTACATTTTCCAGCTGTATTTTGTGTAAATATACAGCTATCTGATTAAATTCCTGTCCGTGAGATGTGAGCGAAAGGAATGGATGTAACTTCTGGATCTCACTCTTAAAATGATCGGGCATTACTCTCCTTTCTTTTTCTCCCATCCCAATGACTGGGACAGAAATAGCTATAGAGCCAGTTTTAACTTTGGAGCATGAAGGCAACCCCGTATGGCATGGCGAACAAGGGAGAAGAAACCTGGGTCACTGCATGACTACATACAGCTTGGCCACCTACCTGCCCTGAACCAGCTTACTTCCTCTGTTTGAATCATTCTTTGTATTTTGGGTTTATGCTACATCAGTTTTAGTTTGATTCCTAATACAAATTTCCTATTTGAATGTTTCAAAGAGGAAAGTGACTTGATTTATGTTTCCAAGAGATCCATCTAGTTTCCACGTGGATACAGTTCTGGGGTGGGGGGAATAGTGGATGCAGTAAGACCAGAGGCCATCTAAGAGACCATCGCGGTAACTGAAATAAAGAATGCTGGTGGCTTCAGTTGGGGCAGTCCCTCTGCACACAGACAGAAGTGAACAAATAGATATGGGATATATTTTGGAAGTGGAACTAAAAAGATCTGGAGCTGGATCAGATCCTTGGGAGGGAAAATGAGGAAAGAACAATCAAGGTAACTCCTAGTGTGGAGTCCTTTGGGCCCCACTGACAGGTCATGAAATATCTCTTCTATGGGCATCTCTGGTAGGAGCCGCCCCTGAAATAGCAAACTTGGAGATGATCCACACCACCATTGTCAGTCCAGGAATCGGTAGAAACCCACCCAAGCTGAAAATCCTCAAGGTTATTTTAGTTGCAGGCAACAGAAACCAACTCTGGCTAGTTTAAGAGCTAAATTAGCTCACAGAACCCAAGTATAGTCCTTTAAAAAAAAAAAACACACAAAACTAGAACTGAGGTCTAGAAAGATGACAGGAACAGACAATACTGTTAGCTCTTTATCCTAAATAGACCACTTTGTCTGCTGTTCCATACATTTAATAAAAGATGGTCCTAGGAGTTTAGGAGTGAGAATTTAACTAGATTTGGTTGGGGTACGGATCCTATCAACTGTAGTCAGGAGAACAGGACCAAATCACTTAAACAAGGCTGACTCCAAGCATCCCTGTGGGAAGGGCAGGTCAAGAGAAAAGGGCTTACAGCCCCACAAGTGCCTTTCTAACAAATCCACATGGAACATAAATCGCAGTTCCATGAAGACCCAGGGCGGCAGGGCTCAAAAGCCCCATTGGAAGCATCCACTTCTAATACAGAGCTAAACCGAAGTCCTCTTGAACCTTCAGATAGCTTTCTTCTTTTTAAGATACCTTGCACAGAAGATGTCACTTGGGGACCACTGTTGAGGACTCACAATGCTTACAGACACTTTTTTCTATTTTCTCACCTGTGTGCTTACCACAGCATGTGTTTCTCCTCAGTATTAAGGGGCCAGATGATCATCAATTCTACCCCTCAGAATAACCCTCAGCTATGGTACCTCTCCGGCTTCCCAGGTGGCGCTAGTGGTAGAGAACCTTCCTGCCAGTGCAGGAGATGTAAGAGACAGGGGTTTGATCCCTGGGTCAGGAAGATCCTCTGGACAAGAAATGGAAAAGAAATACTAACTCAATATTCTTGCCTGGAGAATCTCTTGGACAGAGGAGCTTGGAGGGCTACAGTCCATAGGGCTGCAAAGAGTCGGACATGACTGAAGCAACTTAGTACAAGCGTGGTACAGCTCAAGAAAAGCTGGAGGGAGTGGATGTGGATTTCTGTACATGACTGACCTGGACATGACCCTGCAGTCTCAGAGGTGTGTCCAAACCAGCTCTGAACAAACCAGAGGGCTGTGGATGTGCCTTTTTTTTTTTCTAGAAGCATCTATTCTACGAATCAGTGATCCCATCTTCCTCTTCCCCTGTTGGTCTCAAATACTCATTTTTTATTCCCATCCAGGGCTCCTCTCCACACTTCTCTGAATAAAGTTTAAAATTGAGCTATAAGAATGGATATAGCCGCTCTTTATCTGTCAGAGGAAGATTAGCCAAGGATAGTTATGGGCCCCAGGCAAAGATAGGGATGCAGTCTGCCTCTTAAAGGCTTGATTGGGAGGATTTTATTGTTATTATAAAGATGCACTTTCTTTTAAAAGTTTAGAGCTTTTTTCCCTCTTCTTTAGTCACAGAGGGTCATGTGATTTTTTTTATTATTAGGATGCATTTTAGTTTTAAGCCTGAAACTTAACCACATGTGCAATGAAGACTCTGGGAAAGTGAGCAGGTCTTCCGGGGAAAGCTCCCGCTCTATTCATCCAGGGGCCATTGAGTTCTGTGTCTCCTGGTAATATGTGCAGGTCACAACCCTTCTACTGCAGGTCAATCCCACTGCAGGGGTCCAGGAATGCTTTCTCCAAAAGGCAAGGCAATGAGAAAATAACCCTTTGATATCATTTCTCTTTCATCATTCCTTTGACTTTTTTTTTATTATGCAGCTAGCAATTATGATCAAGTAGATAATATGTATTAAATGTGCTCTAAAAATATAATCTCATTATTTTTATGGGTTTAAAATTTTCCTAACAGACCTTCTGCTTATGAAATTCAAAAGC